TTAATAATCCTAGGGTAACTAAATTTAGTACCATAATAATTACTTAAATTTATATTTCACTCAAAAATGATGGATAAGCAGGATAATCTATCAATTCCATAAACGAGAAGCGGATTTACTACCATAAAGATAGTTGTAGCAAGGTATCAAAAGGATATCTGATGTAATGATTAACAGATCTAATTTAGTGACATGTTGAAATACTATTATAGAAGAGCTTAGATCGGGATTGGTTCCAGATAGAACTCTTTCAGAGACTTTATCAACCAAAGATCAGAGCTAAAATATCAATCTAGCCATGTGAAAATATTCAATATCCAACTATATATATAACTTAAGTTGGAAAGAGGTGAAAAAAACCTAGTCCGAGTTTAGGTTATCTTTGGCTCCGATAAGTGTTTGGGGTAAGTTTTTGGCTCGGATAATACAATGGCGGTATTAATCACTAAATTAGGGATCTTTTAATCCCAAATATGGCACATTCTCTTTTCAGCAACAATAAGACTTCTTTCGATCCCAAATATTACAATTTCTCTTTTCGGTAACAATAAGGCTTCTTTCGTATCAAAGCACAATATTGTTTTTCAACAAGATAATTTAGCAAAAGGGAGATTTTGAACTCAAATGAGTTGTCTTTATTGTGGTAAAACTTCAAACACTTATATATTATTATAACTAGATAATGAAAATAATACAAATAAAGAAAATAACAAAATTATTAAGAATAAGAGAATAACGAAAATATTAAAATTACTAAGCAGTATATCCAGAATTCTAATTGAGATCAAGACTTATTACTGTTACGATTGGTTGGGAGAACGATACGCATACATGCGCAGTTTAGCTCCAATCGCAACTTTCGGACGGGTTTATTTAACAACAGGTTCTTAATTAATTCATATTTAATATACCGAAGACATTAAAAGACTTTATTTGAGAAATCAATCCTTATATTATATTAAGATATTGAAGTCTGAGAAACTATAATCTTATGATGTAAATATGTTTTTTTCACTATCTAATCGAAGATTGAAACTTCATTTCTTCCTTCCCGATAAAGGGGTCATCTAGTGATGTGCCATTTATATGATACCCAAATTTTTTTCGCGTACAGTACGTACAGTACGTACAGTACGTATAGTGCGTACAGTTGTTTCTAGCGATCTGATTGGTTGGGAGAATTCACCCGAAGTGATCGGCAAGAATTTTCGCGTACAGTACGTACAGTACGTGCGTACAGTACGTATAGTACTGTACGCGGCACATCACTAGGGTCATCTAAAACCATGTATCCATGTGATTTTTTTTTTTGTGCCGATTGACCTATCAAAATTGTGAAATTTTGTTTACACGGATCAGCCCGACAAAGTAAAAATAAACGAAAAGTTAAAAAAAAAACATTAAAAATATCAAAAACAGTAGTCTAAACATGTCTTGGGGTATTAATAAAAGATGTCGGGAAGGCAATTTTACTATATATAAGCTCCATCTCTAACCCTAACCCTAATATTAAACTCACCCTAACCCTAATTTTAATTAGATGGCAAAAGTCACGTGGGTACATGGCTTTACCCATCCCCCGATAAAGTAATTCTGAAAACTGAGTTTCAATCAACTGCGGCTAATTACTTAATTAGGATGATACAAGAAATCCCGAAAGAAAATAAGGTAAGATAAACTAAATATAAACAAATAAACAAACAAATGAAAGATTAATGACAAAACCAACAAGAGATATAGAAATAAAATACATTTATGAAATGACTCGTTTGTGAACGAAGTCACAAGGCGTACATTATTGTAAGTCACTGGATTTCCACGTGATAATAGATCACTGGAGTATTTGAGAAACTTGATAATCTATCTGCTTCGTTGTTCTTGAATCTTTCTGCTCGACTTTTGTGTCCAGCGATCCCTTCCACCACACCGAAAAAAAAAATGAAATGAAAAATGAAAATGAAACAGAATAAAAATAAAAATGAAACAAAATACGATGCTCGCAAAGTCTGGTCACGTGACCAAAAGTGCTTGTTCGCGACCCCATCCCATACTGTTAGTGATATATCCCGCGCGGAATGCGGGTTACGCGCGTGATTAGTGATGTGCCATTTATATGATACTCGGATTTTTTTAGCGTACAGTACGTATATTGTGATTTTTTTATACCATAGTTTCGGAATGTTCCGTAATCGTTTCAGAATATTCAGGAACTCGTAAATGTTATGGCCTAAACTTCAGAACTTATAAAATGACTGTCAAAATTTTAGCGTACAGTACGTACAGTACAGTACGTATAGTACAGTACGTGGCACATCACTACGCGTGATCCGCGCGTAATCCCGCGCGGATCCCGCGCATGCCCATCACTACATACTGTATTACAGATTATACAGAGCTATTGTTGGCCATGAAAGTCGTTCGTTTTGAACAAAGGAATAGGTTCCATAACCAACAATAATAATTATAAGTTAACGTTAGAGGTTAAAGACAAGGTTAGGTGAAGTGAAACGAGAGCTATATATAAAAAAAATAATAATCAAATATCTGTACATTGACAATTTAATATAAAGGCAGAAGATGAGTTGAGTAAAGTGAAGCCGTAGGCTATAAAAAAAAAAAAATTATTATCGAAACTCTAAGACGAATTAATCTAAAATCTATATATTTACTCTAATGTGTGCGATCTCTCTAAGAAGTAGGGTTCTGGGGACGGTGTCCCTAGGCATGCCCATATCATATGGTATCACATGATCTGACGATATGCTGATTGGCTATTACCTTCAAAGTATATTTGTCGTAGCTTTCTTTCTATAAGTACTATAAGTACTATAAAAATAATCTGATAATTTTTTTCTATCATAAGTGCATGTCTTTATAAATGCATGTTTTCCCAATGATGTGCTGTTGACTGTATCATTTTATTAAATATATTTATTAAACATAGCTACGGTTAGGCGAGACCAACTGGATTCTGTGTTTTACATTACCTCTTCCCTTCAACGTCCCCCTCACCCGTATAGTATAAAAAAAAGGGAGATAATATATAAGGATTAGTAATGCGATAACAATAAAGAGGGCCGGCTTTAAGTAAATTTGTCCTGCATTAAGTTAAAAATTTAAATATTTGTCCATCCGAAAAGTTCAAAAGTAGACAATGAATCAACACAAAACACGAGCAAGGGTCTGTCAGAAAGATTACGAAAAAATTCGAAATTTCCAAGTAAATTCTAAAAAGCCCCCACTTTCAAAGTGGGGAGGGAGGTAATGTAAAACACAGAATCAAGTTGATCTTGCCTTATCAATTGTAATGTAGATATTTCATATGTATAGGGGCAAAGGCGTGCCCACAACCCTACTAAGAAGGAAATTTAAAATTTTAATTTTTTTTTAATTTTAGCATTAAGTAAAAATTATCAAACACATGTGATATTATTATTATTATTACTATATCAAAAACGTTAGTTATTCAAAACTTGGCAGAAAAGACCTTGCATAATTTCTATTGCTTTTCAAAAAAAAAAAAAAAATCTTAGCTATTCTAACCTTAGGACATTTATAATTAATTTTTATGTAACGTCTAAATTTTGGACTCAAGCATGGGGGGATAATTTTTAAACAAACACTAATATTAATCAAGCACACGAATATTTTTCTCCCGATTTTTCCCGAGAACCATACTGTCAACTTCGGAATTTCCAGGGTGCTTTGTTTCTACGAAATTTTTGTTATATGATTGACATTAAACTAAAAAAGGCCTTATAAAACTCTGGCAGAATCGCCTCTTTTTTTTAAAAAAAAAAAATCTTATTAATATTGACTTCTGCAACCAAACGCAATAATTAAGTCTTCTGATCTATTTAAAATAAAGAAATTAGGAATTTGTAACACTAAAATTTCGAACAAAGTTAATTATAGAGAAGAATTTGCCAAAAAAATGTTCATTTGCTAATTATAAGCATATAATGAGATGATTCTTAATAAGCATATTTTCAAAGGGTTTTGGTTTTGTACAAGTGAATTGTGTTGCATAAACTATTAATAAATAATGTCAGAAACGTAAAACCTACCACAATAATCACAAGTAGTATGACATTATGCATATATGAGTGACACCAAAGAATTCGGACTTTGAGCTTATTACTTCACCGAACTCGAATTCAAAATCAGAATTTTTATTTTTGACAATTAATGGAGGTTGTTATTGTTATTTGCAGACTATGTACATTATAGTTATCGCTTTTGACATTATAGCGTATTTGTAAAATTAATCTAAGACTCTGTAAAAAGTATTTAGCCTCCAAAGAAATTACCCCGCTTTAGCGAACCCTATTTTTTGAAATTTGGATAATTAACTTATTACATTTTTTGTTTTGCATTAGAATTTATATAACCCCTCAATTCACTGAACTTTCTCTACTATTGGACTAAGCTGTATACCTATAATGCAATACATCTCTTTTTCATAGGAGTATTATCAACATAAATTAGTTTATTAGTAACACGCTGCAATAGTATGAATACGATACACAAAATGTACTGACTACTTATTTAGAAATTTCCTTTTTTGTACATAAACGAAAAATTAATGCAAATCATGGGCAAATGCTGACGCTTGTTAATCGAGCCTACCTAATTTGGTAAATACCATAAAAGGTGATGATAAAACAAGTTTGACACATACTGTATTTTGCGGGGAAAATATATTACATAATTAACGCGACTTCCCTTGTATTACAGCCACATTAAAAACAATCGATGAATGAAAATATAAAAAAGATAACCCTCTCTTGACACTTTTCATCAATTGATAAGTTTTGTTCTTTTAAAGTATTTTGTATTCTTATCAAAATTAATCCAACACAAAATTATAGCATACCTAAAAATTCGACTTTTCCTATTTATCTGTTACCGTCAACTTTTCACGAAGCCTTTCATATAAAGATAATAATAATATTCCCACTCTTAATTTTTTTTGCCAATTTTATTCTTATTTCTTATAAATGTCTCCTCGGAAGCCACGAATCTACGCGACTAGAGCTTGTACTAATTGTCAAAAGAGACATGAAAAATGCTCTGGAGCCATTACCTGTACAAATTGCATAAAACGCAAACTTTGTTGTGAATTTATTAATTCAGGTAAAAAACGCGGTCCAAAGTCAAAGGAAAATGTAGTCGATACGATTCAAGAACAAGCATACGTTTCCGCTTCATACGCAAATTCTATACAAGACAATGCGATGACTTATATGCCTGGAACCGAATATCTTGAATTTAATAATTATATAGCTGAATCATCGTTATCTACTGAATCTTTAATCTACTTTTACATTATGATGCCATCGCCTTATTTTCTTTATTGTCCTTGACCATAATTTAGTCTATAAAACTGTAAAATTCTTATAAACAATATTTGCTCAAAACAAGAAACTTTTTTTTAAAAAAATATTACATGAAAATTCTTTTTTAAAGAAAGAAATGATTATATAATTAAACATTAAACTCTGGCAGCTTAAATGGTTACTTCTTTAAATCACATACTGTATTAACAAATAAAGTAATAATCTTTATGTTTTGCACATTTTAATTGTTTAAATTCAATATATTAATAAACTAACGAAGAAAATTAAGTGAAACGAAAAATATATTTATAAACATAGAGTAACCATTTTATTCTTACTTTATTAATACCTTAAAATCTTTAAACAAAGTGCTTTTTAACCTATATGATAATACTATTCTTGTCATGACGAAGAGACCTGTATCTATAATACAGAAATACGTACAGGTTTTGGCAGCTAATTTATACAGGCATTACCTTCTTGATGTAAATATTGAAGGTTTACACAAATTAGTTGTCAAAAAATTATTATAACGTGAACTTTATTGGGAATTCACTATACTTAAAAGATGTTATATGGATTATTTAAGTAATCTTATAGCCTTATATCACAGTGAATTTTAGAATTGCGATTATAGGGTTACAATTGTATTAGATCGTAGTATCAGTAACAAGTAGAGGATATTTTAAAGCAATAAAGTCAGTTTTCAATGCACTTCATTGGTTGCCTTATATTATTGAATAAAAAATATGAAATACAGTATTTACCGTCTACACGTATCAAAAGTTATGCTTGTTCACTTATTGGTAACAAAAACATGTAATAGGCTCCAAACATTAAATGTTATTAATTAACCTAATATACTGCATACGTACGTATAATCAAATAAATTCAATATTTATTCAAGGATTAAATTATTATTATTATATTATTATGATGTTTTATCTAAACTTAAAAATATTCGGATTATTTACCTATTATCAACGAGTCAGTTTTAATTCTACAGAATAAAATAAGCATTTATTCTTAGTATTATCACGGAGAAAAGTACCGTTTCCGAAAATGAAATAATTATGGAAATGGAAAAATATTATAATCAGCTGATATAAGAACACTCGTAATGAATATTAGCGTAGCAATGCATAGAAATCCTGGCGAAGGCATGGTCAAAGTCCTTTTAGATGTTTTTTTACGACTTTCTATGTAAGAGATACATATTTTCCATTTATGATATCATTTCAACTGAGTTGTTTACCTTATGCTGTATTTCTAGTCTGACATATGCGATTCTCCGCTCCGTAACAGTATTTACAATAAAAATCATCTTTTTAGATTATTTCTATTTATTTTATTTTGTTTTATTTTTTTGTTAATAAATGTATAGATGTCGCAATTACCCAGTGCTGTTATTTGTACATGTTTAATTGTATCGGCTAATTGGACATGGCTAATAAGTACAAATTAATTATAAGGCTAATTGGCTTGGCGCTAAGGCTAAGGCTAATTAGACAAAGATTAAAAAATATTGGACTTAAGGCTGGTAACAACACTGCAATTACCACTTCATTACATATTCGAGATTCCTTTTTATCATATTTACTTATTTAGCAGAATCAATAGGATTTTTGTCAACGTCAAATAATTATTCCTTTATTCCTGGAAATAGTATTTACTGGTTGATAATCATAATCGTAATAAACCGTTTATGCATAACTATTTTTCTTTGTATTAGTATGGTCATCATGCATGCAAATGCTGGTTAATCAATCGGATCGTGCATTTAATTACTTTTCGTAGATTTCCTATTATATAACACAAGTTAGGAAATCTTAATAGAATGCAAAACTGATGCCACTTACAATGAATGTCGCGGCTGAAGCTGGAAATTAGATGTCTCGATTTAAAACTATAAACTCAACTAAAATCCAGCTATACTCTTTTATTATAAACCCTAACCCTAAATTCTAATCTAACTACGTATAAAAAAAAAAAATTGAACTTGCATACCAAAAATTTTTGTAAATTTCATATTAAAGTATTTAAAATTTCCAGCTTCAGCAGCGACAATGAATAATTGAATAACTTATATGTTCACAAATGTAAATTTATTCAATCACTTAAAATCATCAAATGCGTAATTTCTATTATATATGTAACATGTAACATTAAATGGCAATAAATTTGGATAACGATAATTATATATGTAATATTTATATATTAATTCTTTTATTTAATCTTTGTCGTTGTTACTGTATTATCAGTAAGCAGAATGGCATACTGTTATGTACTGTACATATAATGTAGGCGTTTTAGGAGTAAGATAAAGCAAAAAAATCCTTTTATTCGGAAAAATGTATCAAAGATGGAGTTAAATTTCATGTTACATTCCGAACGTATTACTAAATTTCTTTTTTCTTTAACGACAAAAAAAAAAAAGAATTCATTTGCTCGTAACACAAGTTTTGATAAAACCCGAAAAAGTTAGAGATTACTTTAATTTGACATCTATTAATCGGAGGAAAATTTCCAATCTAAATTAGAGAGATGGCTTTAGATGCATGAATTCGTTTCATTAATCTATCCTATCTCGAAAAAATGATACTTTCTATGGAATAACGATACCGTAACTGTGTCGCAAGGAAAAGCAATTCTCAATTCATTTAATAACACAAAGATAATAAGATAAATCATTGAGCCTTTTTCTTTTTTGATTTACATAAAATTTGTGTAATATTTTGTAGCTTATCGTTATCAATTCTTTACTGGCAAACTAAATCAAAACAATAGCACAATGATACACAGACATCTTATAATACCATTTGGATTTCCTTAAATTGTGTTGTCACACTTTCCGAAATGACAAGCTCTGAATCTGAATTTCAGCAATTATTGTCGACCCTATAATGCGAGTTGTAACCATCTAATAAACAGATTTATAGTGTTTGACTCGAGTTATTTTTTAAAAAATTAAAATTCTTATTTCAATAACCAAGTAATCTTCTCAAAATTGATTATGAATTTATCTCTCCTTGCGTCATACAATCTAGATAGTTATAATAAAGAGTAAAAATATGCCAAGAATGTAAATGTCGCGGAGTACAATTAACTCGCTCTAAATTCTGAATAATAAAACCTCTTATCCAACATGTCTTATCACTGAATAACTTATTCGTCCATTCCTAATAAAATACACAATTTTTCATTACCTCTTACGAGGTGAATGAAAATTTATGTATTTTTATTAGGAGATGTCCGAATAAGCTATACAAAAATCGGGTAGATTCAAGAACACTGAACCCAGATGACACTCAGCCTAGAGTATAATTTAGGCTGATTTGTTTAGTGCTAGTAAACAAATGACGTCATGTAGATCACTGAGTTCGAAGTGCCCCAAATAATCATTAAGTGCTTACGGCAGACATGTCGGATAACTCAGTTGTCAGTCAAGTTATGGTAGATGATAACTGATTTCTTCACAACGGATACTGCATTATGACATGACGTCATAAGCACAGTATCCGAGCGAATAATCAGTTATCATCTACAACATGACAGACAATTTATCAACCATAATTCTGGTAAATTTTTGCCGATCATTTGA